TGACCTTGGAGTGTAAATATATTGATCCTTTTGTGTGTCAAATGTTCATAATAAGTGAAAAACCTACCATGTCTCAAAAGAAGTCAACAGCAATCAGGCAAATAAAACCTTAAAGGAAATTTTTTTTCTAATACCTAAACCAGTGCTTTCATTGATGCGTTGTTCCTAGCTATTTCTTCCAACACCACTTGGTTCATAATATTAATTTATCAGCACATTTGTTTAATACTATGGTTTCATTCTTTGCATAGAAATACAACTCAATTTCCTTAAGCTATAGTCTAACTTTCTGTATTAAAACTGAAACTTTTTAAATTAAAAAAGCTCATGGAGTTTATGCAAAAAGGAAGTAGATGCTTTCGAATAACAAGTCAAATATTTGTCAACAAGCTTGGGAGGGCATTCTGTAGACCTTAGGCAAGGGAAGCCATGGAGAGCTCCCTCTTCCAGGTAGGATGGTGCTCCTTTAAATCAATTCTACATGAATTTAGAGTATGCTTTCCTCCAGCATTATACGGATTCTAAAGTGGATACAAAAATTAATAAAATATATCATCTTTGCCCGCCTTGGAGGAGATGCAGCAAGACCACGTACATAAGAGTAATAACACTAGAAAATGACTTCTTGGGATTAAATTTCAACTTTGCCATAATTAGCTATAAAATCTGGGCAAGTTATTTAACCTTTCTGATTCGGTGTCCTTAACTGCATAAGAGTGATGACAATAGCACCTACCTCATAGTGTTATGACCCATAAGCTAAAATATTTTATTGTTTTATATTTAGTAAAATTGAAGCTATATCAGATGACAGGAAATGAAAGGACAGAAATGATCTTGAAAATTATTTTTCCAAGTTTCATCATTATTCTTGCATCTTCCTGACAAACCTTAACCCCATCTCCCCCTCAGAGAGATAGAAAGACGGTAGTATGTGGAGGTGTGGAGAAAGAGGTAAAGAAACATGAGAAAGAGGAGGGAAAAGGAGAGAGAAGGAAAGGGAGCAGACAGGAAGAGCATTTCTGTGTTATCTGAAGCCATCACAAAGGCAGGGGTGAACCAAAGGTGGAGAGAGAACACTTGCTGTCGTGTTCTTGCTGCCGCTTTTCCTTTCCCGAGAAAATCCATCCTTCCGCAATCATTGAGCTATCACACGTATCTTTTCCTAACCATTTCTGTGCTTTTCTTTCCACTGTTTACACTTTTGTTTTATAGACCATGAGCAGCAGAAGGGACATTAGAAGTCACCTAATCCAATCCTCTTATTTCATACTTGAGAAAAACTAAGGACCAGTGAGACAAAGACATTTGCTCCGGGTTGCACAGCTCTACAATGACACAAACAAAATTAAAACCGGACTCTGCCAGTCCACGCCGTCTCCCTTAGGACAACCGAATGAGTGTATTTACCCAAACGCACTGTGGCTGGCCCTTATCCCATTTGGCAGATACATAAATTATTTTCTCAGGAAAAAATCTTGGGAAATATTTTTAAATGAATTAACAAGAATCTTACTCTTTTTAATTTAATAAATGTGTTTTATTATGACTTTATCGCCTACTAAGCCTGAAACGAGGTTTTTCCATGCTTGGACAAGTCCTGCCTAACCAGTAACAGGACAAGCAGATGACAATTAAACAGATATTCCCACTTGGGCCATAACACATACACACCCCCCCACACACACAATATCAAGAGGCACTTAAAATTTGAGTCCATTCTTGTCACTCTTCTGGCCTGTGGTTAGGAGAGGAGATATCAAATGTCTGCAAGATAAGGCTCTCCTAACACAGAGACTTCAAATCACTTATCTTCCAAAAAAGGACCAAGTTTCTTGCCATTGCTCCACATGCTATTTC